ATGACACATAATTCTACGAGAGAGAGTTCGTATACTCTATAAGAGACCAAAATGATAGATTGCATCGTCCAATATAATAAAAATGTTATTTCGTTGCTTTTTTTCTTATAACTCTCTAGAAGGTCGTTGCAAGCAACGCCCTGTCAGCCGGATGGTGCACTTACAAATTACTGACGAGTTTTCAGAAAAATTTCAGTTAGAAATTTACCAAATCTAATTTGGGCAGCAAGGTCCGCTGATATCACACCTCTAATAGCATTTCGTTTGTGGCTTACTTATAATAAGAACACGATATACAATAGAAAACCCCAAATAGTTTAAGATTCATATGATTACATTGAAGATGTGACAAGTTCGATAACACCCCAAATGTGTCAATATTCTCTTCGAAGGTTTCAGAAAAAAATAGCTTTGACAATGGTGACCCATCTGTTGAGAAATATGAATGTTACGTTTTCTTTGTTTTAATAATAATAATAATAATAATAATAAATTTCGTTATATGCAATTTTGATTATCGTCTGTTTAGTTTTTTCAATGCGATGTGGTAGTTACATTAATGACAGCATTTATGTGTGTGTGTGTTTATATACAAAATGCTATGGTTATATTGTGACCATTTTATATGTTTAATTTCGCGCATGCGCGTTGTTTTTCTGGTTTTTTTATTTTATTTTGTTGTCTGCAAAGTATAGCCGGGCCAGTTTGACACCGTCCGTGAGAAAAGAAACATGAAGAATTCAGTCCGCCAGAAATTTGGAAATGGCATGCTTTACTGCTTGCCATTCGCGTCGGAAGCTCCAATACAGACATTTCAGAGTGCTTGGGTGCCAATCTGAGTGCAGTGCAGAGGATTCGGAAAGAGCTGGATGAGTCTAATGGTGATTACGATGGTTCCGTAACTCGGAAAACTCACCCTGATCGTTCTGATAAGAAAAGATCTCCAGAATTTGTTGGTGAGAGCCTCAGACTCAACACGCCAAGTGCCTTGAGGAGGCAGTGATGCTCTGGGTCAAGAGGGCGGCTGATGGAAGACCCTATGTCTGGCAACATGATTCTGTACCGTGCTACACAAGCAAGAGGACGCAATCATAGCTGTCATACAGTTTCTCACCCCTTACATCTGGGCACCTAACTTCCCAGACAGTAACCCCCTTGATTATTTGTGTGGAGCGTAGCTGAGCGAGAGACCAACAAAACTCTTTGTAATACCAAAGATGAACTGAAAGCAAGGATTATGACAGCATTCACCAACTTAAACAAGGAGACGTTCCAGAAGAGTTGCAAGAGATTCCAAAGTCTTCTAGAGGTCAAGGATGAAGCCAATGACGATTTTATTGTAGAAATTTACTCTTTAGTTTCTCAACGTATAAGTCTGATAAATGATTCCATTCTTTTTCAATGACTGTAAAAGTTTTTGTTTAGCTCCCAACCCATACCAATTCTGATGGTGTCTTCAAACCTTTGAACTTTTTTTTCACCCCAAGCAAGGCGAGAAGCCACTAGAACGTAAGGGGTTACAGAAGATTTGGAGCAAGATCACATAGGAGTTTCACCCAAAGCAAGGCACGAAGCCACTAGCACGCAAGGGGTTACAAGGAGCAAGATCAGATAGGAGTGATAGAGGAATGGATGAGGAGAAGGATAGTGGATAGATCAAGGCAACTGGAGATGTCGATTGACATTATATTTGAATATTTGGAGATTATAGCTCTCAGGGAAACTGGAATAGGTAAGGGAGTTCCACAGGCGAGAGGTGCGAGACATGAAGCTATTGGAGTAGAAGAGACGGCTACATTTAGGAGTTTCGACAGTGAAAGGGTGAGAGCGGGATGCCAGCCTCGTAGGGTGCTTGAACTGGGAACCAGTGAATGCAGCTCCTCGGAGCAATTACCATGAAAGTATTTGTAAAATAGTATATATATATATATATATATATATATATATATATATATATATATATATATATATATATATCAACTATCCCATCGAGTTTGACGTATCAGGGTCGAGCAGATCAGTTCCTTGGAAACTGACAGCCCGACATCAGCACACGAGATTTGATTATAGTGGTGAACGTTTTGTGCAGAATCATTCACAATTTTTGAGGCACGGTGAGGTAATGGATAGCGGCTTGGATTAAAGAATCGGAGAGCCGAGTTCGAATTCCAGTCGAAGGCATTACATTCACTTATGTGGAAAGGTGTGAATCCTCTTCTTCTTCCTCCAATTATGAGTAACTAGCAGGACAGACTGGGTTCTTTTGCCTTGGATGGCAACTGGTCTAGGAGAAGGACAACTCCGAATTCAAAACCTGTGGAGAATCGTTTGGAGACTCTGTGGCACGTAGTGCGCCAAGTCTCTGATATATATATATATATATATATATATATATATATATATATAATAAAATTAATTGGTAATCCGTATGTATAATTCCAAAGATGATATAGATAGTTGAAGTGAATATAGTGGTTAAAGACTCTCAATTACTACAGTTTCATCTTCTACGTTACCTGCCTCCTCTATATTTCACTAGACAGGTATATCTCCGTTTCTCCCCCTCTCTCCGTCTTCCTTTCCTTTCCTATCTTTTGAACCTATTTTAAAACACAATTCATGTTAATTTTCGTTTTTTGTTTTTTGCCTGGAAGAATTTTAAATCCATTCATTGCTGAAGCCATTTGATCTGAAGAAGCGAAATCGAAATCTCAATTTCGCGAAATAAAATATTGCCATGTGTTTCTGAAGTCTCCGCTTTCTTAATTATATATATATGTGTGTGTGTGTGTGTGTGTGTGTGTGTGTGTGTGTGTGTGCGGTTTTTATACTCTTAAAATCCTTTATTTTGCATTCAACACCATCACTTGATAAGACACCAGTAGTATTGAAACAAAATTGCAATTTTTGTAGTGATTTTATAAACTGTCCAAACGAGGTGTATATGGCAATAAAGACAAGAACAACAGTCCGAACGATATACTGTATTTTCCGGCTCAGAAGACGCTGCGACTTGGAAGACGCACTCTAAATTGGAAAGAAATTTCTAAGAAAGAGAATCTTTCTCATACAACACATTCACCATGCCTACCTCAGATACTGGCGCCACGTATTGTTTACATTAATCACTCGTCCGATTTTGCTTGTATGGCAATGACATACTAGTCAAGAGCAGAAAGGCTCCTGCTGCTGCTGCTAATAAACAGAGCATATTTTAGCTTGTGGCTCGGCTCCAGGAAGGTTTATAGTCTTGGAGATACTTGTAACAGCTAAGTACTAAAGTTAAAACATATAAAAGACTGAATTAGATAGCTAACATTATAGTGTAAGGACTCAACATACAAATCCACGTCCCTATCAGTCAAGTCAATTAGGTGACCATCTGAGTTTACTTGAGCCTGGGCGTTACCTTACATTCGTCTTGGAAGACGCACACGTATTTTTCAGGGTATTTTTTATGAAAAAAAGGTGCGTCTTGTAAGCCGGAAAATACGGTACTTAGATATTACTGTGATTATTACTATTACTCCTTCAAATATTTCCAGAATATCTTCTATCAATGCAATGCAATCTTCTATGAACCACATCCCTTCAAGACACAGGCGATCACGGATCTCCACAGCTTCCTATGTCATGTGGCTCTCAGCAGGTTCCCCCCAGACTCCCTTTTCAGGAATCCGTTTAGGCAAGTGGCCTGCTGCTCTACCCTATCTCTGTTGCTCTCAAAGAGGGCTTGGAAAATCTGATACTCCCGGAACAGATTGAATACAGGAAGGACAGAGAAGCATAACGCATAACCTACTTAGCGAATTTGAGTAAATGGATGGCAAGATTTAGGAGAGATAACAAAAAAGGCGAAATTTATTAAAACCTTCAAATAGACAGGAAGTTGTGGCGAGCCATGATTGCCAACATCTTGGAAAGACATTTCATATAGGAGTTTGTTTCATTAATTGTCTTCCAAAAGCTAAGCAAAGTATTTTGGAAAAGTGCGTCTTGTAAGCCGGAAAATACTGTAAATAGCATAAATAGTTGCAAGAGAAATATAGAGAGATGCTGAAGGTTATCAGCTGTTTTTTAGTAAAATCAATGACAAATTGGAAGAAATAAAATGAATGCGACACGTTTTGGTCTTTAGTAAATCATCGGACTAAAGTAATGTTTACCTTGATGCGACTAGACATGAATAAGAAGGAGAGGCCATGCAGAAATTTTAAACTTTAAACTTTATCTTCAAATATATGACTATATACCCAAACGAATATTCAATTGATCCACAGGATTTACTACATATCACTGGGTGCTGAAAAATTTTCTGACCGACTAAGAATTGATTCATTGAAAATATTTACGTCTTATCAACCCTTTTGTGGGTTATTTGAAGACGAAACATATTTTGGAACGAGAAGCTTGGCTAACTAGAACAATTACGACTGAGTAGTGAATTCAAAGCTCATTAGATACCCCATATTTTTGGCCTTGTGCCACTTCTAAGCTACGGATAGATAATCAAGATATTTTGGCTTGTAAGAATAAGTCTTTTATTTTGGTCGAATGAATATTGCTTTAAAATTCTTTTGGCGAATAACTATAATGTTTCCAGATACAAGGCCTAGAATTTATGTAACGGAACTGACTGGAATTCGAAATCGGCTCACCGATTTCGAATTCAAATCCACTATCCATTGCACCACCTGCACAATCACCGACTAGAAGAAAAGAAAATTATTTAAAGTCTTTTGCTTGAGTATTTGCATAAGTTTTAGAAAAAGTTGGGCCAAATTTGTATAATTTTTGACACACACACACACTCATAGATAGATAGAAACAAAATTAGATAGATAGATAGATAGATAGATAGATAGAAACAAAACACAACAAAATTAGATAGATAGATAGATAGATAGATAGATAGATAGATAACGTTTCAGTGGATTTTGTTAAATTTCAATGACCTGCATGCATTTTGTGTCCTTGCTGTTATCAGATGCCAACTACTGATGATGCAGAAATGCCTGCGAGCGTTCGCCGTTTCCATCAGCTACCTCATTTGCTTAATATTATGTGAATATAGAAAAACAACTCAATGGCGACCGAACGCCTCGCGACCTTCCCCTCAAAATCACAGTGGGAAACACTGCTGGTGTTCTTGGTTGGCGGATGCCGACCTTCACGCGTAATCTGGCGTGAATTTTTAATAAGGCCGATTCCAGACTTACTAGGGGACTAGAATTGAAATTTAAGCAAAACAAGTGTGATCTAAATTAGAAAAAAGCGATTTTCTTACTCGCAAAAAGCCACATGTTCTAAGCCGGTGCATTACATCATGCGATATCTGATTTAGAATTATGGAAGAGACGTGGTGATAAAAAAATTGCTTTCAAACGGTTTATTTTAAATAATGTATAATGTCTTGCTGCACATTTCAGATGACACTGTTCTGTTAAGATGGCTAGTTAATCCCCCTTACAAACGCCTGCACTTGTTTGTTCAGTACCTGAGTCAAACTGTGTGTTATACTGCAACTTTAGTCAGCGGATCTTACGCTGTCTGGGAGAGAACACATAATCTGACAACAATTTTTAATATGCCAAAAAATATTTTAAAATCATTTTCGCTTCGAAATATTTTTTTTAAATATGCCAAAAATAATTTTAAATATTTAAAATGTTGTTAGGTTAAAGAAATCTGAAATATAAATAATTACTCTGCAAATAACTAGACAAAACAGCAAAGCGGGATTTCTTTGTGTCTGTCTTTAACTTTAAAATATTTTAATTAAAAAATTGTCTGTTTGAAGAAAGTTAAAATAAAAATACTTACGGTATAAAAAAAAAACTCGTATTTTTAAATCATATTCATTTAAAATATTTTTTAAAATCAGATTAAGTTAAAAAATATTTTTTAAATATTTAAAATATTGTTTGTTTAAAGAAAGCTGAAATATAAATAAATACTCTACGAACAACTGGACGAAATGACAAAGCGGGATTTCTTCACGTCTGTCTTTAACGTAAAAATATTTTAATTAAAAAAAATTGTCTGTTTGAAAAAAGTTAAAAATAAGAATACTTACTGCATAAACAACTCGGAAATCATTATGCGCCGGACGGACGCACCACACAAGCAAGCACACAATCACAGACTTTTTGTATTATATAGATAAATTTACCTTCTCGATAAATACACTATGCTGAGATTCGAACCAGAGACATTATCGGAACACTAACCACTCGTTATAAGAAGTCACACACAAAATAGTGTATGTGTACACACACACACACATATATATATATATATATATATATATATATATATATATATATATATGTGTGTGTGTGTGTGTGTGTGTGTGTGTGTGTGTGTGTGTGTGTGACGTCCCCGGTGTTGCTGCGCCAATCGTGATGTCTGCCTGACCGCGCCCGCCGTGCTGTCCTAGTCGCGGCGCCAATTGTGACGTCACCCCGTCTGTCTCCGCACCGTCGCCGTCCTATCCTGTCTTGTGACGACCAATATGACTTGGTATTGGTCGCGGCACCAAATGTGACGTTCTAACCTTTTGCTGATTCGGATGGGAATCTGATTAGATTTGGTATCAGCCTTATCGTTCCGAGCTCGCCTCAAACGTCTGGTTAGCGAAGTAACCGTTTTGATCTCTAGTCTAACCTACCCACGTTGTGATTTGATCTTAGGTAGACGAAATCAATCAATCGCCGGGCCGTAATGCAAGCTGAGTCCGGACAAGGGTAATATCGCACAAGTATATGTAAAAGAAAATAAAGTAATAACTCGAAAAGTTCAAATGTGTTAAAAAAGCATAACAATATTTTATATCTGGTTGGTGAATAAAGGACTGCGTCTTCTTCCCAACCTGCTATATGGATTCGTGACACTTTGTGTTTGTTAGGCGAGTCTTAACATCTTAAGTTGTTTGTTCTTTAAGAAACTGGTTGGTGTATCTTCAGGCGATATTCGTAAAACTTGTTTTGGTGGTGTGAGTCTAAGTCGTTCTTCAAAAATAAATTGTTCTTGGTTAGAAGTTGAGGTCGTGATTTGCGTGGAATCTTTCAGTCAGGTTTCTGCGAGTGTGGTCCCTTAATCTCAATTCTTATCCTAAATGTCACCTGGAATTCATCACCCGGGACCTTCGCCAAATAAGTGGGTGGTCATCCGATGAGATCGCATTCTGGCGTTAATTATTCCTGATAAAATAATTTTCTTATTATAGCCAGCTCCTGGCACAAAACAGATGCCTTTTTCAAAGATCTCCGTAGATAGCTAATGGGTCAATCTTTTCTTTCTTTTAACTTGGATGGTCCAATGGTCATTTTCGTTTTTCGCGACCCAATTAATTTTTATCTCTTTAGAATTCTGCGGGAGGTCGCTTGTCCAACTTGAAATTTTTACCATTGCCATGGGCAGATTGGATATATCTTATTCGGTGCGTCGCCATAAATTAAATTAAATCCGACACATCCGCGACCTTACTTTCCTCGTTAATGAGAATAAAACCTTTAGCATTTTTCTTTGTTAGAAAAATAACATCGCTTAGTGTCCTTTTCGTGATTGCTTCTTATCACCTAAGTTCTCGTCTTTTTTTCTTCTTTCTTTCTAGCAACCTAAATAGTGTCACATATATATATGAACCTAAAGAGCCAGGTAAACCTACCTAAGCTTCAGCTGCACGGACTGTCAGGGTAAACTTTACCCTGACGATCCGTGTAGGTGAAGCCTCGGTAGGTTTACCTGGCGCTTTAGGTTCATATTTACGTTTGCTCTGCTTAGTGTATTGAGCACTTTACATAGTTACTTTGCTCTGAGCTTGGATTCTGGACGAAGTTAAGCAACGTCAAGTCAGGTCAGTACCTAGATGGGTGACCGCTTGGGAATACCAGGTGCTGTAAGCTTGGATGTGCGATTGGTGTAATGGATACGGGTTCAGAGTTATTAGTCGGGGAGCTGGTTTCCCATACGATCACCGAAGTTAAGCAACGTCGAGCCTGGTCAGTACCTAGATGGGTGACCGCTTGGTGTAATGTATAATTGCTCGCGATTGTTAATCGGATAGCCGAATTCTAGTTGGGTTCGTTATATTCACTTACACGCAAATACCCGTGGGAAAGGCATGAACCCACCTCTTCTCCCATTAGTTATGGATTAACTATTAAGACATGTATTGGATTCTGGACGATTGTTTTCGACTCAATTTCATGGTCTTAGTTCTTTCTTTTTTTTATCCCTTTATTTTTCCTTGGGTATTGGTTTGTTCAATTACAAGCCAAAATACCTAAGGTTTTTCAAACGAGTATAACTATATATATATATATATATATATATATATATATATATATATATATGGAGACAGAGAGAGAGAGAGAGAGAATAAAAAGAACACATTTACTTACAACCAGAAGAGGAGAGTTGAAATTTATCGGACACATAATGAGGAAAGAGGTCTTGGAGAGTATAACATACTGAAGGCAAAAAGGACAGACGGAAACGGCGAATAACCAACCTAAGCAATATATGTAAATGTTGGAGAACAGATGATAGTCAGATGGGGTCAAATAAGAAAAATAGGGAGGGTGATCTACGAGTTCAAATTCAGAGTCACGCACGCAGTGATTCTGGAATATAGTTCTGACGAAACAAGACCCCTTTTGTCAGTTTTCCCGAACCTTTGATCATGGTAGCCTTTTATAACTGCTTCAGTAAGTTGGCATCGTACTCTCCACTGATGGTGGGAACTTTTAAAGATAGTCATTAAACACAATGCCTTTTGCATTACAAAAAAAAGATGAGGCCATCACCTTCCCTGCAAATGAAAGGACCTCTGCCTTCTTTGGAGCGGGTGTGGAGGGGTGCTTCCACTACGTTGATTTTTTCTTTCTCTTTGACTCAAAGACCATGGTATTTGCAGCATACCTCTATAGAACCATTTTTCTGTTACCTCTTCATCTGTGAGGAAATTCTTAGTTTTCTGTCATCTGTACCAAACTTTATAAATATGTAGATAAGTTGTAAGGCAAAAATGAGGAGGTTTACTTACGCACTTATCACGTTGAAAAACCAGCTCCCGTACGATCACCGAAGTTAAGCAACGTCGACCTTGGTCAGTACCTAGATGGGTAACCGCTTTGGAATACCAGGTGCTGTAAGCTTGGATGTGCGGTTGGTGTAATGGATACGGGTTCGGAATTATTAACCGTGGAGCTGGTTTCCCGTACGATCACCGAAGTTAAGCAACGTCGAGTCTGGTCAGTAGCTAGATGGGTGACCGCTTGGGAATACCAGGTGCTGTAAGCTTGGATGTGCGGTTGGTGTAATGGATACGGGTTCGGAATTATTAATCGGGGAGCTGGTTTCCCGTACGATCACCGAAGTTAAGCAACGTCGAGCCTGGTCAGTACCTAGATGGGTGACCGCTTGGTGTAATGTTTAATGGCTCGCGATTTTTAATCGGATAGCCGAATTCTAGTTGGGTTAGTTATATTCACTTACACGTAAATACCCGTGGGAAAGGCATGAACCCACCTCTTCTCCCATTAGTTATAGATTAACTATTAAGACATGTATTACTAAATAATTACTATTTCTCTGACCCCTGCCAAAAAAATCTTATAATTTAACAAATATTTTCTGGATTTAAATCACCTGTAAAGGGTTGATAATCAATAAACAATCAATAAAAAAAAGAGAAGCAAATATCTCTGATGTCTGTGACAGAATCGTTAATATATATATATATATATATATATATATATATATATATATATATATATATATATATATATGCTTCTATGAGTGGTTATGTACGTAAACTTGAGTGTTAGGCTTCGGACTCTATCGCCAAGGAATAGAGCCTGCTGTAAAGGAAGTGTCCTCTTAAAGAAAAAAGAAAAGTAAATGTATTTTTCACTGTTCACTCCATTGTCGCCTGTATTTTTCTGTCTGCTCGACATTAAATTGCTCGCAATTTTCCGCGGCCATTTTCTTTTCTAATAGCTTTGAGCGAGCTTTTTTACCATACTGTGTTTTTTTTTATATATATATTTATTTGTTTTTTGGGGGGATTTTTTTAATTTTTTTTTTTTTTTCATTTCGATCATTTTTTAACTTCCTCTCCAAAAAGTCTGAATACTTTAGGTCAAAATAAGAAAAATAAATAAATGAAGTTAAAAAATATTTTTTTATTCTCTTTGTCGTTCTATTTTGTTTTGTTTTTTTATCTTTCCTTTCTTTATGCAAAAATTATCTGTGTTTTTTTTTTCTTACCTTTTCTATTTGTTTTGTTTTTTATACTTTGTGTGTCTTGTGTACGGTGCTGATTCGCTGACTAATGTCATCAGAAAGATTCACTCGATTTGCGAACTCAAGACGAACGAGTTGGCTTTGCGCCACTAGAAAATTTATAAATACGGATAATTTTGTCTCTTTATACCTTTTCTTCTCTTATCTCTTCTTTCTTTAAATAAAAACGATTCCTATTTTTGTTTCCGTTATTTTCCGTTCCTTTTCAAAGGACTTTTTTCTTTCTTTTTTCTCGTAATTTCCCTTCCTTCATTATTTTTAATTCTTCGTTTTCTCATTCAAATGATTTTATCATCTACCATTATCGAGACATTAATTCTGTCGTCTTTTCTTTGCATTCTATTCAAGTTGGATTCTCTCCCACTTCTTAAACATCAATTTTCTCCTCCTCCTCCTCCTCTCTCTCTTTCTTCTTCTTCTTCTTCTTCTTCTTCTTCTTCTTCTTCTTCTTCTTGTCGTCTTTTTTGTTTCCTTCACCTACTTTTTCCCCCTTGTTCTGCAGCTACTACTGCTACTACTAGTTCGTCTCTTTCATCTCTTCCTCTTCCTCCACCCTTTCTTTTTCGCCTCCTTCAGTTTCAACTCCCTCCTCTTCTTCTTTACCTTCTTACTCCACTCCTCGTCCTTCTCCCCTTATTTGTTCTCCCTCAAGTTCTCTTTTCCTCCTCTTCTCCTCCTCTTCCTCCTCCCCTTCCTTGACGTCTACCTTCTTTTCGTCTTTTTCGTTTTCTTCAACTATTTTTTGTTCTGTATTCGCCATCCTCTACTCTTACTATTACTACGTTTTTTTTTATTCTATTCGACTCCTCCTCCCTCTTCTTCTTTGTCTTCTTCAGCTTCTCCTCCCCCCACTTCTTTACTTTCTTACGCTCCTCGTTCTTCTTCCCTGCTTCGTTCGCCTTCAAGTTCGCTCCCTTTCTTTCTCCTTCTCTTTCTTTTTACATTGCTATTTTGTTATATCACATCACAGACTATTGGTAACCATTACTGGAAATCAACTTAGAGAATGATTCTTCAGGTCACCGGCATTTTACTTCGTACTGTCACTGACTTTAAGACTGCTGGACTTTTGACACTCTCTTGTTTCTTTAAATCTTTGAATTATTTGGACTCTTGAGAATATGGACATATTGTTCAGAGTTTTGCAATTTTTCAGCTAGGTCATTAATTGAGGTACTGTTAGATTCTAACAGTACCTCAATTGATTTTAACAGTTAGAATCAATTGAGGTACTGTTAGAATCAACAGAGGTACTGCTATAATCAATTAAGGTACTGCTAGAATTAAGCGAGGAACTGTTAGAACCAATTTAGGTAATTTTGGATTCATTTGGGATACTTCTAGTATCAATTGATGTATTGCTAAAATCAATTGAGGTACTACTAGAATTGATTCAGTTACTTCTAAATTCAATTGGGGTATTGTTAGAATAAAGTAGGCTACTTCTAGAATCACTTGAAGTACTGCTAGATTCAACTGAAGTACTGTTCGAATAAACTGAGTTACTGCTAGATTCAATTAGGTATTGCTAGAAATTGAGGTAATGTTAGAATCAACCGAGGTAATACTAGAATCAATTAAGGTACTGCTAGATTCACTTTGGGTATTGCAAAATCAACTGGCGTACTGATAGATTCAATTGAAGTACTGCTAGATTCAATTCAGGTACTATTAAATTCAGTTGAGGCATTGCTAGAATCAATTTATGTACTACTAGATTAGATTAAGGTATTGTTAGAATAGATTCAGATATTTGCTTTTTTTACTGTGATTTTTATGGATATTAACTCTCTTTACATAGTATTCTCTTTACCTAAATGAATATTTAAGATCGAATATTGTTATCTTTCTCTTGGACAGCTCCAGCCCACATATGGCACCAATACTCCCTTATTGGTCTGACACGAGAAAACTGTCCAGCATTCCCTAATATATAGATTAGATATTACAGAACGGCTCACTTTTGTCATTGTTTCTAGGCACATGTTCCTATCTCTTAATATTTTGCTTAGTTTCCGACTGAAGAAACCTTGTCGCTATTCCTATGCACCCTCAGGAATTTTGACATGTCGTCTGTAACTAAGGGACCCAGATAGTTCAATGTCACTTCCTGTTTGATTTTGACGTCGCCAAGACGTAGGTCATACCTTATCATAGAAATTTGGTGAAACAAGTTAGAATTTCTGTTGAGTCGATGGGCAAATATTCTCAGGAAAGTATGAATGGATTTCTTTTAGCTATCTGACCTCTCGATAGATATTTTCGTAAAATATCTCGTCACTGACATGCCACGATGGTAAACAAGCAGGCGTCCCATAATGATCTTAGTTTATCAAGGCACTAGCAGTAAAGACTATTACTACCATAGACAACCTTGACAGTAAGAATAAGAAGTGGGCAGGCGAAGCTCGGGCAAGATATAGGCTGGTGTAAAAAAAATTTTCGAGTTATAAAATTATCAGCCGCCGGTTAAAAATGGTTTCATTCATAGGAAGAAAAATGGAAGCAAATGCTTCAAGAGTCAAAATCCAAATTCTATTCGAATTTTTTTAAAAAATGCCCGGAGGAAGTGTAACAAAATACAAGAAAAACACACAGATTGAAATTAGAAATTTAAGTTAAGAAAAATAAAAAAAAAATTATTTCACTGAAGCACACGATAATTAAATGCATTCAATCAAAATCAATATGTATATGTGCATGTGTGTTTGTGTGTGTTACTTTTATATATATATATATATATATACATATATATATATATGTGTGTGTGTCTGTTTGTTTTACATATATATATATAAATATATGTATAAATATATATATATATATATATATATATATATATATATTGCTTTCCTAGGAGGGAAAGAGGAAAAATAGGAATCCTAAACAATTTAATCGCAAGCGACCGAATCAAAAATAACAAAAAAAAGGATAATGGTGTTTGGGGTGGGGGAGATCGATTGTTTTACAAAACAAAACAAGCAAAAACAATGCTGAAGGATTATCATAGAAAACATATTTTGAAATTATTTATCAAATTTTATAAAGTAAATCTTCGTAATTTCACTAAAACAGAGTCTAACCTAATACCGAATACTTCTTTTATATGCACTTTCGCTTCAGAACGTCGGCTCTACAATATTTCCTATCCTTAGTAATGTTTGATTAATTTTACTATCCTTCCCACTGCCTAAGCTGCCATCCACTTACACTTACCTAGACAATTTAGTCAGTACATATCCTGTGTCCCTCTTGCCTTCAATATGTCCTGTGAGTGTCAAATTCTCTAAGCCCTCTTTCCAGATTATTTGTCGCAGAAATTTTAACTGCCTCTTCTCACGGGCAAATCACATTGAAACACCGGTTCTTGTACGATCGGTGAAGTTAAGCAATGTTGATACTTTACCGAGATGAGTGACCGGTTCAGAATAGCAGGGGCTGTAAGAGTGGATGTCCGGATGGTGTAATGGACCACGGCTTGGGATTGAAAATCGGAATGTCGACTTCCAATTTCAATCGTTATATTCAGACGCACAAATTCCCTTCGGAAAGGCTCTTCTCTCCCCCGCCTATGGGTTAATTAGTAGAACTTGTATCAGTAAATATTCAATATCTCCAAGATCATCTTAAAATCAAAAATCATTTCTGTTGTTATCAATACCCTTCAAAAAGATGAAAATCCGTAAAAAAAAACATGTCAATCTTGATTTAAAGTGCCATTTTTGTTTCCATTTACTGTGAATTATCCTTGTTGCTCGGAGGTATTCTCAGTATCCTTTTGTAGAACCTCATTTCTGTTGCCCCAGGTCTCCGCTTTACCACTGATGAAATTGCCCAGAGTTCGCTGCCATAAAACAAGATTTTTTTTAATTATCAGTTCAGCACTACTATTTTTTTTTTCTTTTGTTAATACAGGGTGACCCCAAAAAATGGGAACTTTTTAACAATCCAATAAAACCAAGAGTGATCGAAGAAAAATATTTTATTCATAGTAATTGAAATCTTAAAATATGCCATTTAAGAAACAATGATGGAATTTTCATTTTTTTTAAATTACGTCCTGTAGACGACGTCCTCCTGTACGAATGCATTCTTGAAATCTGCTATGTTTTCTTTTTATATAAATTATTAAATGAGATACCATGGTGCAAAAAAGGAATAATGAAAGAAGTAAATTGAAGGAAAGTGACCAGAAGAAACCATCCTTAAACATGAAAAAGTGTTAATTTTTTATCTTGCTAGACAGTTTCATTACACACACACACACATATATATATATATATATATATATATGGTGACCCCAAAAAACGGGAACTTTTTAACAATCCAATAAAACCAAGAGTGATTGAAGAAAAATATTTTATTCATAGGAATTGAAACCTTAAAATATGCCATTTAAGAAACAATGATGGAATTTTCATTTTCTAAAAATTACGTCCTGTAGATGTTGAGATTCCTCATTGACTGCTGCAACATCTCAGCTGGGATACTGTGAATTTCATTATTGAATTCTAAACGGCGAAATGTTTACTTGCTCAAGGTCACTGTATCGCAGTGTTGCCACTTGCTCATGTCTGGCTATACGCACTTCAAAAATTCCCATTTTTTTGGGGTCACCCTGTACATTGTTTAGCTTTGGGAAGGCACCTAATGCGCCTTCTTATTTCTGTCATAGTTAACACTTACCACGATAAAATCCGACTTGTTTACCTTGAAATCATCGCATTTACACATTTATTTTTGCTTACCAAAATGCCTGTAGAGACTACAGATCTGTTGGCGTGAGTCTTCGCTTTATCTGTGATGAAATATTGCAGCGTTCGTTGTCATGAAGCAGGATTTTTATTACATAGCAGTTCAAGACGATTTTCTTTGTTTTTGACGAAATTTCATGTTTCTTTTGTTTATTGTTTCACTCCAAACAATGCAATAATGTCACGAGATTTCGAGGGATTACTGGGAGTGAAAGAGAATAAGAAGTCTTTAGTGAGAAAAAAAAAGACAATAAATGAACAGGTTTCAAAAAGAAAGAACATGGCGATTGACGTTGCATTTAAATTTCTCAAGATTATCGGTAGCAGGAAAGAAAGATGCAGGAAATTATTTCCCCAGACAAAAATTGTGATCGCAAGGGCGTGAAACCCAGGATCACAAATTCACATCAATACAACTAAACATATATATATATATATATATATATATATATATATATATATATATATATATATATATATTGCTCGTTTTGGAGGGTTTTTTCTTTGGACTCTGAGCCTGAATTCTGGAGGATTGTTTTCGCCTCAATTTCATGGTCTTAGTTCTCTTTTTTTTATTCCTTATTTTCCTTGGGCATTGGTTTGTTCCATTACAAGCCAAAATACCTAAGGTCTTTCCAAAACTATAACTATATATATATATATATATATATATATATATATATATATATATATATATATATATATATATATATATATGAATCTAAAGAGCCAGGTAAACCTACCTAGGTTTCACCTATACGTATTGTATACTGACGTATATCGATAAAACCTAGGTAGGTTTGACTGGCTCGTTAGGTTGATAGTTAGATTTGCTCTACTTAGCGTATTGAGCACTTTACGTAAGTACTTTTGCTTTACTCGTTTTGGAGGTTTTTTTTCTTTGGACTCTGAACTTGGATTCTGGACGATTGTTTTCGCCTCAATTTCATGGTCTTAGTTCTTTCTTTTTTTCTCCCTTATTTTTCCTTGGTCATTGGTTTGTTCAATTACAAGCCAAAATACCTAAGGTTTTTCCAAACGAGTATAACTATTTTATTATATATATATATATATATATATATATATATATATATATATATATATATATATATATATATATATATATACATACATATATATATATATAAGTGTGTGTGTGTGCGCGCGTGTGTGACTGTATATGTGTGTGTGCGAGATAAATATATATACATAAGATAAAATGATGGCCACCTACCTGTTTTTTTTTCCT